AGAGAGAGAGAGAGAGAGAGAGAGAGAGAGAGAGAAGTTGAATGGCAAAATTGAAATATGGGTTAAATTGCGGCCGCAATCTATTTCATAATTGGAATGATTTGTTTTAATTTATTGAGCGTTTTTCCTGGAAAGATCACAACAAAACCTACGAGTACTCCAATTTTCAGGTTTTTTCACACATTCTTCCAAGCGCGAAAATTGAATTTGGAGTACTTTCTCAATTAGCCTACACATGGTTGAGTGGCAAAAATGGAAAATGTGTCGAATCGGTTCGACGATTATTTCGCAGTCTACATGATTTTTAAAAATATTCTAATATTTTTCCTACAAATAACACGCTCTCATCTATGCATTTTTAAATTTTCATTTTTATTTTTTTTGTGGGTTCCTCCAAGAACAAAAATTCGCCGAAGTTGTCCTTTGCAAAACGTCCGTTTCGTTGCGCCTGACCTCCTTGTTTTGAGAAGACAGACCTCAACGCCTGGGTCTGATGACCCTTTTGCAGTTCACATGCCCTCACTTCTTTTTGGGGTCCACTTCCACACGAGGACCGGTCCTTCCTTTTTCCAAAAGTATTGGTTCTACCAGAGCTAGCTGTAGGTAGTCACGGTCCGCAATTTTGCTAAGGATCGGTCCCCCAATTTTTTTTGCCCCTTAAGACCCCACTTTGTGTCCTAGTCGTCCGCTGCCAAAAATACGACACCTTAACACAGACGTCGAAGCCTACTATACCACAGCCTTAGGGCTGCGAATTAGTAGAGCACAGGAATTGCATCCCTCTCGACCTTAGTTGATACTAGTATTGTCATCCCTATGCAACCCAAGAGAGTCATCCATGCCAATCGAGCCCAACACCTTGGAAGACGCCTATCTGCAGCGGGTTGTTCAGGTTCATCTGCCCAGCGCTCTAATTGCTGGTAAAAATTGACGTAGAATCTTGGTTCAAAATTTGTGCTATTGCGAAACTATGAGGTACTTCTTGCCTCTCCCTGTAATCCCGGTTTCCCAAGGATGATGTATACTCCGGTCCCACCTTCCATGTCCTCTTAATAACTTTCAAGAAATCGCAGATTCAGTAATTAATTGTCTAGGTCTTGTCGTAGTAATAGGAGAATTAAGCCCTATGTTAGTGGTCTCCCTCTGATAATTAATTACCATCTCTAGCCATTCCCCCGTTTTTTCATTTGTTTATCTGTTGGAAACGGAAATGTAAGGTGGTGTAATTTTGCTTTCCGGATTCGGAATAAAAAACCAGATTCGGTGGTTCAGGGGAGAACTAGGGACCCCAGTTTCAACCGATAATTCCCCAGCGGCCATACATTGTCTTTCATTCTTGCTCGAAATTGAGACCTCGGTCTAAGTTTCGCTATTATGAAGTGGACCCATCACGTCTAAAAGTTTATTGTACCCAATCATCGTTGGTTTAGCTACTTTAAGAGCAAACCGGTTTCGACACTGTTCATAAAACATCATTTTTCAATGCCAGGCCACGATGTCCTCGCCTCCACCCCATAGCGCGACCTCTCGGTCTACGGCCGAGAAGCAAACTTGAAGAATTAGGGGGGTCATCGAGGATTATTATGTAAAAGGCATATTGCCCAAGGAGTTCGCTCTTATTATAGCGGATGCAGGTGATGACTTTCGTCTGAGTGGTCGTCAACAATGATTTCTACGAGATCCAAGCCGAATGGTTTGATGAGCACGCAGTATCAGTCCAGTTTGAAAACGATTTTAAAGTCTTGCCAATATCCGTAAGAAACAGATTGATGTGCACCTATGAGGAGGTTTGGTCTCTCGCTACAGACATGAACATACCCCCCAAACGAGTGGTGTTCTGTTGCGATGGAAAGAACCTTGTCACATGTGTGGCGAGTTCTGACAAAATCGTCAAGTAAATGATAAAAAAAAAACACTAACAATATTGAAATGGATGGCAAAACATACATCATCCAGGCCCTGGATGAAGGAGCATTGGAGCGAGGTTTATATACTCCAATACTTTTGGATCAAGGTCATCCGAAAACCTATCTCGGTGCTTCCTCATGTGGAAGGTGTTGTCTAGAAAGCATTTGGGAAGATATCCATAAGGTTTTTATCGATCCAATATCGCCCGATTTCTTAAATATCAGGTTCGATATGGAAGCCAAAACTCGACTTTCATATAAGCAACATTTTATTAGTGATATGAAAGACGATGGCTGGGTAGATTCCAATATCGCTTGTGCGGATTCGGCTTGGTGTAAAAAGTGTTGTAAATAATTTCATTCAAATGAGGATGAGGCTTGTCTAATCAACGAGAGATCAACCTCCCAGAAGAAAAAAAAAAATTTCAAGGGACGGTCTCAAACACGAAGGAGGTTATCGTTACTCATAAGGTAAATACCATAGTCGATCATACAACAAATCACCAACCTGATGAGCATAAAAAAACTTCGGCCTCAGATAAAGCTCGAGATGAGGCCAAAGCTACAAATGTGCCAGAAGACGATATAGTAGACGAGAAATTAACGGTTCCTCAAAGATGATGGTTCCTCACAGTAATAAGAAAGTTGAGAATCGACCTGCTATAAAGGAGAGCAGTTTTCGTTAGAAAAAGAAAAAAATGAAGATAAAAAAGTC